ATTATGGGAATAACATACAACTTTGTGCTTCTCTTGTCCCCAGATGAATCGTTACACGTCGAGAAAGGAATCACATAAAGTTCCGGGTAGGAGATAATAGAGAATGTAGACTTCAGTGAATTTACGTTTGCTTTCAGTGGTGTACGAATGTGAGGTGTGCCAAGGTTTCATCGAGTCTCTGCTTGAAAGATTCAATAGTGGATGAACAAACGACGTGAGATGGAAGGGCGTTGCAAGAACTGCATACTCTGACTGCAAATGACTGGCGCCGGCATTCCAGTCGACACTTTAGAATCAGTAGCTTGAGACGGTCTCCCCTTAGATGTATATTGTTCGATAACATGAGCAGCGATCGACACGGATGGTTTGGGTTCTGCAGTATTTGATACGTCAAAATCAAGTCTCCCCGAGTTCGGCGTTACTGAGCAGAATATAGTCTCAATGATCGTAATCTCTCTTCATATGTCAGGTGATATATTCCCTTGACCATCTTGGTGGCCATGCTTTGTGGGTGCTCAAGCATCTTGCGATCACGTTGCAACCATGGACTCCAAACTCCGATGGCGTACTCTGTGTAGGGTCGTATGTAGACTGATGGCAAATGTGGGAACAGTGATGATTCAAACCGGATGAAGTCGCACCTGAGTGGGCCGAAATTCTTCACAGCAGCTGACAACGCCTTAGCACGATTGATGGAGCAGCTTAACTTCTCGTGAACAACAATACCTGAGTCTTTATCACTTGAAGTATGTGGTAGCCGCTGATTTCCGAGGATAAACGAGAACCTTATCTTGTTGCGTAGGGATAGGACTTAACATTTAGAAACATTAAATTCAATATTGTTCTCCTTAGACCATTGATAAGCTGCGTTGAGTGATTCTTTAAGTGTTAGTGAGCCCTCAGCTTCTGTTACTGTATTCCAGATTTTGGCGTCATCCGCAAACGGTATTGTTTTTGGACCTAACACTTTAGTTTGATCATTTATGAATGCGAGAAACAGATGGGGACCAGGTACGAACACCTAAGGAACACCGCGGGTGGCTTTGATAGATCCGGATGTGGAATCGGAAACACGAACTGATATGGTCCGTTGTTCGAGGAATGCTCTGATCCAATCAAACGCCATAATTGTAGATCTTCTGCAGCAAAACCTTCATGATCCACCCGATCAAATGCTTTCGAGAAGTCGAGATAAATCGCATCCCCTTCGTCGACTGTTCTGACCCATTCATCTCGAACAAGAAGCAGGTTGACGGAGCAGGATCGCTTTTGCCTGAACTTATGTTGAGCTTTTGAAAGAATATTGTATCTTTCGAGGTGTTCCGTCAGAGAATCTGCCATAATTGACTCCATGACTTTCGATAACACCGGAAGTAGGGTTACAGGTTGGTAGTCGGGGTCACTACGACAACCAACTTTGTATACAGGCGAAATACCTCCTTGTTTCCACGATTCTGGGAGTGTTGCCTGGTCCAACGTTCACTGAAACATACTGGCTAGCGATTCGGACGTGATTCGCCAAAAAGATCAGAGGTTTCGGATGTATATTTTCCGCACCTGGGGTCGCATTTTTTCGCAAAGCTATTATTTTCGCTTTGACGTTTTCACCAGTAAATGATAGGTAGGTCAGTGAAGGATATGGAAGATGATTCAACCAGGGAGGTAGCTGTAAACCTGAAACCTGCGGTGCTGCGAAAACGTTGAAATACTGAGTTTTCAGCATTTCAGCTGCTTTCGATGGAGTGGTT